TATATATATATATATATATATATATATATATATATATATATTGTTTTTTAAAATAAATACATATATAAACAAACTTCTAAATACAGTATATTGTTTAATGTTATAATGTTATTTTAGTATCACTGAGATACTTTTAGTTTTAATATGTTAATGTGTTAATATTTTGATTTTTTTATTTATTTTCTGCTTTAATGTTAATTTTCAAGTTTTAGTAATTTTGTTGTTTTTGTAATTTTTATTACTTTTTATTGTTTTTAAATATTTCTATATATTTGATAAATTTGTATTTCAGTTTCAGTTTTAGTTATTTTAGTACATCAAGTTAATGAGTTGCCTTGTCAATCAGCTGAAATAAGCATACATTTTTTATATTTTATTTCAGTTCATATTTATTTTATATCAAGTAACGACATTTTTTAAATCGTTTTGCTTTAGTTTTAATTAACTATAATAACCCTGCTGCAACCCATATAATACTGAGAAATTGGGGAGGGGGGCTTAGGTGTGTATGGCAATGTGATTACCAATGTGGGGGGGGGAAAAAAGATACTTTGTCAAAAAGGTTGCTGACCCCTGAACTACGGCCTTAATTAAATTGTGGACTTAATTAAATGTATCAATCATCAATCAACAGCAACAATGGCTGAATAGATCCTTATCGGATTTCAAACACATCAAACATTATTTACAACATGAGGCTGTGGAAAATCCTAAACCTATAAGGCATACACAGGCTTCAGTAATCCAGTGGTACGTACCGATTGGCTGGTAATCCAAGGAGATGTCTGAAGGCGCTTGCAATACTGCAGACCTTCGATACACCACATGAACTCTTCCCCTCTCCTCGTGTTCCTGTGTTCCTCGCTCCAGAGGCTCAATGAAGTACTCATCAGAATCAGTGCGAATCATACCAGCCTTGAGAAAACAAAAATAAAATGTCAGAAATGAAGAGGAAGCTGAAGTCTGTCTAACCAAAGACCTGCCTAGAAAAATAACTATGACAGAAAGACAGATTTGACAGTGCAAATGAAATATGTTCATAAACCTAGGAGACTGTCATTACAACAGTAACAATAAATCTCACCTCTAAATGCAAGGCCCCTGCCAAAACACATCATATAGTCTTGTTGGAAGGGCAGATGCTCTATATATCACCCAACCCTCATCCCCTCATTTACTATTATCTTTTCGCCTAACATACGGTAACTGTTACAACATATGAACAGGTACAGAATGCATGGCTCACCTTCAAACATTCCTTCTACTCAGAGTTAAGAAATACATGATCATACATTTTTCAACCTCATAAAAATTCCATTGAATTGTGCTGATAAAACACAGTCCAGTGTGTGCCTTCACAACCAGATATTTACTGGAAGCCCTGATAACTAATGAAAACACTAAAGAGAGTTAAATGTTTGATGCATTTGTCAGTGAATAATCAGGCATTTGAATCTCTTCTCTGCTTTCTTCTCAGCTTCTTATTAGTTTAAAAATCAGGAGGCATCTTTTATTCAAAAATGCTTTCAGGGTACAAAACGCATTATCACACACAGTTGTAAACAAAATTGGGTTTTCCTGCATAACTCAATAAACTAACTAGATTTCCCATGACCTGACTTTGTATCACATAATTATTTATTGCAAAAAAATATTTGGAAATCAAAAAAGAGGAAATTAAAGTTTTATTATTGTGAAAAAAAATTAATTTCATATAAAATCGGAAGGAATACTTTTAGGAATTTTACAAATTATAATAATAATATCAATTTGACTTTTCTCTCGTATTGAAAAAAAAAAAGCAAAATAGCAGCATTTTCACCATTGGACCCCTCTGTATATTACTGCATACTGTGTGTTTTAATTATTACAGAAAAATATTCAGAAACTAATAAAGTGAATAAAAACAGGGAAAGACTGTATGTAACGGAAACTGAAAGTTTTAGTATTTTGAAAAATTTGAATGTATAGTACTTCAAGTGTGTGTACTTGGACCGACCTCTTTACTCTTTTAAAACAGCCTCTCAGTTTTACCTCCAGCCCCAGAGCCGGCCTCCTGGACACAGAACAGCCTCTCAGAGCCCATGCTATGGAATGTGCTGGAAGACTAGCACTCTCTCTCTCAGTCCACTCTCTCTTACTCATACAGTGCCTTGCGAAAGTATTAATTTTTGTTTTACATTTTGTTATGTTGCTGCCTTATGATAAACTTCTTTAAATTACTTTTTTCCCACATCAATCTACACTCCATACACCATACTGACAAAACAAAAACAGAATTGTCACAACTTCGTAAATTTATTAACAATAAAAACTAAGTACATTGCATAAGTATAACTAAATATTTCGCTGAAGCACCTTAACAGCCTCAAGTCTTTTTTTGTTTGATGCGACAAGCTTTGCTCATAAGCATTTGGCAATTATATGCCATTCTTCACCTCACATGTTCACCTTTCAAGCTCTGTCAGGTTGGATGTGGGCAGATGCACATTTTCAGGTTTCTCCAGAAATATTTGACTGGGTTCAATCCCAGGCTGTGGCTGGGCCACTCAAGGACATTCACACAGTTGTCTATAAGCCACTCTTGTTGTGTGCTTAGGGTCATTGTCCTGTTGGAAGGTGAACCTTCTGCCCAGTCTGAGGTTCTGAATGCTCTGGACTGGGTTTTCATTAAGGCTATCTCAATATTTTGCTGCACTGAGCGTTTCTTCTACTCTAACGAGTCCCTCAGTCCCTGCCACTGAAAAACACCTCCACAGCATGAGGCTGCAACCAGCACACTTTACTTTTGGGATGGTACTCTGCAGGTGATGAGCAGAGCTGGTTTCCTTCAAACATGATGCTTAGAATTGAGGTTCATCAGACCAG